CTCCAAGCTCAGAGAACCCCAAGGACTCCACAGTTCAACCCTGAGCTATACATATTTGCCTCTATTGATATAAGCGGCCTTCCAAAATCCTGATGTTGCTTGTCTGAATGTTGCTTAGAAGGCCCTTTTGATGGTGACAAGACAGTTCAAGGCAATGACCTGGTTTTCTTTTTCTCTCCCTTTTCCAATTACCTCTCCCGCGCCTGCCTGGGGACCCTTCTTTCAGTGAACGATTTTGCCTGCTTGCCGAAGCAAGTCGCGTGGATCCTGGCCACAAGGCGAGTCTTCATGTATCCAGAGTTGATGCCCACCTGCTCCTTAAAGGCGAAAACACCCCGGGACAAGATCGTTTTCACCAAGGGAGAAGACAAGTACGTGCTTTAGGAAGTCAGCTGGCTGGGGGGAGCTGGGAAGCAGAAGAATAAACTGGGAAGCAGCAACTGAATAAACTGTTGGGGACCCTCTGGCTTCCGTCCTTCTATTCTCAATCAGGATTTTGTTGAGGCCTCATCCAGGACTGGAATGGTTTTAAACCAAGGCTTCTTGAACAAGCTGGTGTGGCCTGATCCATGCCCTAAGCCAGTGTTTCTCAACCTTGGCCACCTGAAGATGTGCGGACTTCAACCTCCAGAATTCCCCAGCCAGCTGGGGAATTCTGGGAGTTGGAGTCCACACATCTTCAGGTGGCCAAGGTTGAGAAACACCGCCCTAAACACCATGACCCATCTTGCTAGGCCAGGAATCATGAGTTCCAGACAGCAGAACACATTAAGTCAGAGGACCACTTACAGTGCAGGGCAGTGTGCCTTTCTGGCTTGGGGCTTGATATGAAGTTAAAAGTAAAGAAGCTTCATTCTAGCTGGGCGGTGTGTGTAGGCTCAGTGATCGCTTTTCATTTCATCCAAACAAAGGCTCGCTTTGCAGAGCAGGGCCAAAAGGAGATTCAAACCTAACTGAAGCCCTGGCTTAACTCTTGTTTGGAGTCCACAAAACATCGCCATTCCTTCTGCGGATTCCCAACCCGCCTGCAACGGTCTCACCCCGCTTTATCTCCCCACCCCTTGCAAATGGAGATGTTTTTGCCCGAGGGTCTGGGACCCCTGGCCCCGGTCCCTTCCCAGTCGTTCCTGACCAAGCTGGGCCTCCCATTTCAGCTTGTTAGCACTGGGTCTGAAGCACTTCGAAGGCACCGATTTCCCCAAACCCCTGATCAGCAAGTACCTGCTGACAACCAAGACGGCCCACCAGCTGACGGGACGGATCAAGAACCGTAACATGAACCGAGTCCCCGACAACATCATCAGAGTGAGTGGTCTGGGTTTTCCTCTGGCTCCTTTTCTGCTGCAGCTTGCTTAAAGCCTGGTTTGCTGATGAATTCCCAAAGGGTTGGATTCAGGTTGGGCAGAAGACGATCTACCCTGGTTTACTGACCAGAGAGGTGCGGTTTGCCTTGAAGCCCAAACTGTACCTACCATGTAATGTGGACCAAGTTCTTCTGGAGGTGACCCGTTAGATCGCTGAGCTGATGCAGGACTGGGAATAGTGGGCAAGGTTATAAACCTTGATAATGGCTTGTTGATTGTCCCCGACCTCCCTTCTGACTTTCAGTACTATAAGACGACAAAGCAGCTGCCGGTATTGCCCCGGCTTTGCGAAGAGGTTCAACCTGGTGATTGGAAACCACCCGTAGAACAGGAAGAACATCGCCTGCCATTCTGGTTGAAGGTATTTCTTTCACCTTAGGCCACGGCTCTAGGCGGAGAGACCTTGGTGGACATAAGGGGGGAACTGTTAGTAAAGCTTGAGATTACCCCAAGGAAACAGGAAAAGGTGAGAAAGAAACTCAAGATTGCCCTGCCTTGACCCTTTTTGGGGTAAGAGGGAGGGAAGGGGAAGTGCTTTCCAGCTTTCAAGATTGATGTCAGCCCTTCCAGGTGGAATCAGGTCAGCTTTTATAACCTAATTCAATGTTTCTCAACCTCAGCAACTTTAAGCCGTGTGGACTTCAACTCCCAGAATTCCTGGCTGGCTGGGGAATTCTGGAAGTTGAAGTCCACACATCTTAAAGTTCCTAAGGTTGAGAAACCTTGCTCTAGTTCCTGTTTCCTTGGTCTTATCCAGCAGTGGGGCTTGATAGTCCCCCCCCACGCACACAGATATGCACCCCCATTTTTTTCCCTTTCTCCTCTCTTCGTCCAGGCTAGCTTGCCCTCCATCCAAGAGGCCTTAGAGCAGCAGCGTGTCAAAGAGGTTTCCCAGGGCCCTGATGCAGATCCCAAGCTCAGAGAGGGAGGAAGAGAGACTGCCGGTCCAGCCAGCCCTGAGTATCCTCTGCGTGTGCCAGAGGGCTTACAGCTCATCCTGAGGCCCCTATCCAGCCGGTTCTGCCGCAAAATCTGGAGATGGCAGCGGCCGGCCCCCACCAAACCCTTCCTCGTCCAGCCGGGCCTTTGCTTGCCCCCTGCTGGGACGGGCAGCTTTCTCAAGATGGCCACCAAGCAGCCCCAGCCGGAAGCAGCTCCCGGCAAATTGGCGGGTCACGTCTCCCCCTTGTCCCAACCCGCCTCACTGGTCCAGCCCTTGTCAGGTGTGCCACGCTTGAACCTGCCACCTGCTCTGGGGAGCGGCGCCCCCTTCGAGCTGCAAGGCGTCCTCTCTGCTCAGCGGTCGGGGCCCAAGCCCTGCTTGGTGCCAGCGGTGCCCCAGAACTTGGTCTCCTCCCTGCCTGTCGCTTTTCAGCCCAAAATGATACTCCCGGCTCTGCCTGCTTCGCGGGTCCGTAAGCCTGCTCTCCCAAGGGGGTATCAGAAGAAGAAGACCCCCAGAGTTGCTCCTTTGCTCAAGGCCGCCCCTGTGCTTCATCCAACGCCAGTCATCTTCACCGTTCCTGCTGGGACCGTCAAAGTGCTGGGCATCACCAACGGGTGCAACATGTTACAGCCCCTCTCGGCAACCAGCGCTGTTCAAGCCACCCAGTCCATTCCCATCACCACCCTGCTGGTCAACCCCACGCCGTTCTCGTGCCCGCTGAACCAGCCCCTTGCGGCCTCCCCAGCCCTGCCCCTGGTGGTCGCCTCAAATTCAGGCAGTTCCCCAGCTCCTGTAGCGGGCAAAGACTCAGAGCTGTCAAGTCAACCCATCAGCCGCTTGGCATCCGGTGGGGATGTCCTAGAGCCGGTCAAGGCCAAGCCCAAAACGGAACCAGAAGAGCCACCAGGCCCGTGGTCCTCCGATCTTAATGGTGGAGTCCAAGCAGAAGCTCGCGTCCAGGGTTATGCGGAGGGAGGTGAAGGCAGAACCCCTGAGCTTTTAGCCCCAGCTCCCTTCTCCCCCTTGGCAGAGTTAGGGGAGCTGGTCAAGGTTGACTTGGAAGGCTCGAGGGAGGCTCCTCCTGAAGCAGCCCCCCTTCCAAAAAAGCCTGGTCCAGAAGACTCCCCAATCAAAGAGGAATTGATTTTGGACCTTGGGCAGGGCCTGGAGGTCAAGCCCGCCTCAGAGTGCAGAAAGGAGCCAAAAGAAACGCAGAGCCAACCTGGCTGCGAGGAGGAAGAGGAGGAGGAGGAGGAGACCGCGAATTCAGGGGCACCCGCCACAGGCCTCCAAGCAGCGGCTTCCGCCGAAGAAGGAAGCAGCACATCTCCCACGAACGTCGGCAGTTCCGTTGCGGCTGCGTCTGACTCCAGCAGCTCCTCGGGGAAGACGGAGGAAGTGGCTGGCCCGGGGACCGGCACTGAAGGGGTGGTGTCAGCCAGCCAGGAGGCTGGAGGGGAGAAAGATGGGCTGGAAGAGGAGGAGGAGGAGGACTTTGATGACTACATCCAGGACGAGGAAGACGAAATGTCGTCGGCTTCCGAGGAATCGGTGCTCTCCGTGCCAGAACTTCAGGTAAGGTCGGCGGGGGGGGGTGCTCATCTAACGGCCGGTGAAGGGGGAGTTGTTGAGCTTTGCTTTAATGGCTGTTTTTAGCCAGGTTTCGTTTTCTTTGTTTTTAATTGTTTTAATTTAGAGTTACATGTTGTAAGCCGCCCAGAATCCCTTAGAGCGGGCAGCTGTATTAAATCAAATAAATCATAATAAGTAGGAAAAGGGGATATTGTGTCTTTGCTGAACTTGCAGGCCACCCAAGTCGTGGTGGATAGAATAGGGGGTAGGCAAAGTTGGGGGTGGCCTGGTCCTGATCCTGATCCAGCAAGCCTCCACTTGTGCTCTCGGGGGTCTTCAGGAGACAATGGAAAAGCTGACGTGGCTGGCGTCTGAGCGGCGTCTGAGCCAGGAGGGAGATTCAGAGGAGGAAAACTCGCAGGAAGAGAACTCGGAGCCGGAGGAGGAAGAGGAGGAGGAGGAGGAAGGGGAAGGAGAGCACTTGGAGAACCAACAGAAGGAGGATGAAATGGCTGATGAGACTGCTGATCCAGGAGACAGGCCGGCCTCCTCTCTCGCCTTGACCTGCGCTGCGCCCACAGTGGAGGCCAGTAACAGCCCCCCAGGTGAACGTGACAGAGAGGGAGGGGAAGAGTCGGGGTTGGGGGGATTCAAAATGAAGCTGCTGTCAGGATCTGCTGCGTGGCCTCTCTTAGTTAACAAGGGCCCCACGAATCGTCAAAGGATTGATTTTGGAAAGGTGGGGCCAGGGACATCAAACCCTTGCAAGGGCTTCTAAGGAGCAGGGAGGCATTGGCTGGCTTGTGCTAAGCCAGGGTTTGTTTTAAATGTGGCTTGTTCAGTTCTCCCATTCCTCTGAACTATAAGTTGACAAACCAGAAGGGCCACCCTTCAAGCTAGGAGCAAACCACCGTGGGTTTACTTGGGAATGGGTTTCAGTTCACTCAATATCCTCAGCTACTCATGCCGGGTTATGACCAGAAATGGGAGTTGTCCAGAAAGATGGAGTTGGGTTTTTTTCCCACCCCCTTATGCAAATCTGTACGGCTGCAATTAGTACATGCCTTTCAGGGTATTTGGCTTACGCTATTTGAGGGGGAGAGATTGAATCCAGCCTGTTTTATGGGAGTTGATCAGTCCATTCAAAGACACAGAAAGCTTTTATGGGTGAAGGAAAATCATTTTTAGGGGCATGGGGGCAACAGACAATGCTGTAATATGCAATCACGGCACACTTTTAACTTCTCAGCTTCACCCCAACGTAGTCCTCATCGGACAGCTTTGGAATAGCCAAACTGATCTGAAGTAGGGAATTTTGAACCCAGAAAAATGTTGGAGCCCGCATCTCTGGTTATAACATTGAGCGATTGCCCTCTTCTCTTCCCTCCCTGCCCCTTCTCGATGGCAGAGACCATCCTGGCTTGAGGCTGGCTTTCCCCTAAGCCCAGTAGGCAGGGTTAGGACAACCAATCATGGTTACTCCATACTGCCTGAGAGGTTGCACCCAACCACTCCTCTCTAGGCCTCCCTATGCCAAGGGATCTGAACAGAACGCCTTTCCTTTGCTCTTCCCCTCTGGCTGCCTCGTCCTAGGGGAGAACCCCAAAGCCGCCAGCAAGAGCCGAGCCTCCCACCGAGCCCGGGCCAAGCGGGGCCGGACTCGCGCCAGCAAAGATGCCTCCAAGCTGCTACTGCTCTATGATGACGACATTCTGGAGAGAGACCCGCTGCGCGAGCAGAAGGACTTCGCTTTTGCTCAAGCTTACTTGAACAGGGTGAGGGCGCTTGGACGAAGGGACCTTGAGCGCAAGCCCAGTTTCCCAGACAGCCCCACGTCCGGGGAGCGCTTAGACAAGCACCCTTCCTGGGTGGTGAAGCTGCAGCACCCATCGCCCCCAGCTGGATTGGCTAGGAAGCAGGGGTCGTCCTCAGTCCAAATGGATAGAAGGTGCTGGGCCGCAGAAGGCCTGGTCCAGATTGAGGGACTTATCCAGAACAGGAGCAAGGGCGGTTTCTCTAGAGCAGGGTTTCTCAACCTTGGCCACTTTAAGAGGTGTGGACTTTAACTCCCAGCCAGCACAAACACTAGATAAATTTCCCGAGAGCTGAGCTGATGTCTGAATGGTCTCTCAAGCTTCAGAGGCCATCTCCGTGAGTTACCCATGGCTGAGAACCCTGCAGGGAAAGAATTATCTTAGTGACCCCACCCCACCGGCGAATGTTAATCTGTACCCCCACCCCACAGGTACGTGAGGCCCTGCGCCTTGTTCCTGGCAAATACGAGGAGTTCCTCCGCAACATTTACGAGTTTGAGAGTAACCTCCAGAAGCAGACGGCCGTCGACCTCTACGCCCGGCTGCAAAGCCTCCTCCAGGACTGGCCTCAGCTCTTGACGGATTTCGCAGCCTTCCTTTTGCCAGAGCAAGCTCTGGAGTGTGGGCTGGTGCGTCAGCTGGGGCGGGCAGCTTAGTGTCGCGGGCGGGTGCTGGGGGAGGAGCCCCCAGAACTTCTGGGATCCATTCAATGGCTCAACTTGATTACTAGATTAACCTGGGGTTTTGTTTTTTTTTGGATCTGTGCAGTACACTAAATCTGGTTGGCCAAACGTGTGGGTCACTGGTTGCCTGTCTGTTTAATCTGGGTGCTCGGTGGGCCCAATTTTCAGGCAGCATTGAAACCTAAACTAACCAGAGACCCTAAATCACCCCAAAACGAGCAAGATCAATTTTAATCAAACTAAGCACGTTGTCTCAGCGCGTTGCCAGGTTTCTGACTGACCTGGTTAAGCCTGTTGTGGAAACTCAGCTGATATTTGGTGCTGCCTGCAAAACGCAGCATTTGCCCTGCGTTGGTTGTCAGCTGGCAAGAAAAACTGCTGAACCTGCCCTGGGTCCCTTCCAGCCTTAGATCCAAGGGGCAGTTGGTCAGCGCCAGGGCCTTCCTCAGGCAGATAAGAAAATCCCCTTCCTTTTCTTGTTGCCATCAGTTTGAGGAGCAGCAGGCGTTTGAGAAGAGCCGGACGTTCCTTCGACGGCTGGAGATCTGCTTTGCTGAAAACCCTTCCCACCACCAGAAGATCATCAAGGTGTTGCAGAACTGTGCGGACTGTGTACCCCAGGAGATCATGGAAGTAAGGAGGTTTCTTCCCCCACTTCCTGCCACCCACAGCAGGTTGCCCCAGATGCTGGACTTCTCCTCTATTGTAGGGTCAAGTTAACTCTATGGAAGTCAACAATAATGTCTGCAGGCTAGAAGCTTTTGGCTGCGCGCAAACGTGCCCATCCTGATCAATATTTTCAGTGTTCTTCCGTGTGCATTCCTCTTTCCCTCTTCCAGTTAGCCTTCAGAGTAGCTTGTCACGGGAGTTATAACTGAGAAACCTTCGAGGTCATCGGATAGGTTGAAAAATAGTCCCCGCCAAAAGAAAACCGATTGAAAAGAAGCAAAGAATAGCGGTGGATTAAAATGCACTCTCTCAGAGCTTGGCTTACACCCTGCCAGCCCACCTTGAATGTTTATTGCTTACCTGAAGTATTGTTGTCCCACTTTCCAACCTGGAAAAAAAAAAAAAATAATAATACCAGAAAATTCCTACCTTTGCACACGGCAAACAAGGAACAAACTTGCATATGGTTTCTTTGCGGTTTGTGACTTCCAGATGAGGACACCGCTTCCTCCCCACCAAAGTAGATGGTTCTCTTCCTATTTATGTTGTAATTTGTTCGTTTTAACCATCTTGAATGTCTGGATTTAGCTGAAGAACCAGATGTGGCAGCTGTTGAAAGGGCACGATCACCTGCAGGATGAGTTCTCCGTCTTCTTTGATCACTTGCGCCCCTCGGCCAGCCGCCTGGGAGATTTTGAGGAAATCAACTGGACGGAGGAGAAAGAATACGAGGTGGAGATCTCCCCTGCCTTTTTTGGGGCCATTTGGGAAGGGGAAACAGAGTTATTTGATTGAGGGTGGAGGTCAGGAGGCTGATGGGAGCAAGCATGAAGCTACAGTAGGTAACCTCGTTCTGCCTCTTCCAGTTTGATGGGTTTGAAGAAGTCTCGTTGCCAGACATGGAAGAAGATGAGGATCCCCCCAAAATCCACGCTGCCTCGAAGAACAAGAGGCGGAAGGAGCTGGGAAGCCAGAATACAGACAAGGTGAGAGTTCAGTCCTTAATCAAAGCCCCAACGTGGCAAGAAAACTTGCTTTGGTGCCATCACAGCTGGGAGTCCTCATCATCCTAGCTTTTAACCATGGGTGAAGGTTTTAGGTCTTGAGGACTCCATATATCTATGTGGCCCATAGTTGTGAGCTGTATAGTTCTGCTGGACGCCCTGGTATGTACAGCCACAGCCTCACTGGCTGGGGAATGCTGGGAGAATGCTAAGTCCCCACATCTGGAGGATGCCACGGTTGGGGAAAGTTGCTGTAGAAGCACGGACCAGTTCTTGGAGAATTGGGCTGTACAAATGGAACAACTGCAGGACCTTTCTGCAGGAAATGCTTGGTCTCAACTCTGGGTCATTTTGGAGGGCCTGCCAAGCTTCCTTTGGCAAGAAGTGTTGGAGATGCCTGTTGTAATACAGGTAGTCCTCACTTAACGACTGTTTGTTTAGTGAGCATTCAAAGTTACAGCAGCACCGAAAAAAGTGACTTATGACCATTGCAGCATCCTTGTGGTCACGTAATTGTGATTCAGCTGCTTGGCAACTGTCACACATTCACAATGGTTGCAGCATCCCAGCCAGTTTGTGACAAGCAAAATCACATGAGGCCCTCACTTAATGATGCAAGTGATTCACTTAATGACCTCAACCAGGACTGCTGGAACTGCTGTCACAAAGCGGGGTGGGTACGCAGGATCTCACTTAACAACCACTTTGGTTAGCAATGAAGTCACTGGTCCCAATTAGGGTTGTTAAACGAGGACTCCCTGTAGTTATATAGTGGAGAGACTTTCACTGAAGGAGTAAAGCAACTCTTCAAGGGACATGCTGGAGCTGGGTGGAAGCATGTCAGCCCTTCCCACAGATACTCTGGCCTGATCAATTGCATCTCTCATCTTGGATTCTCCATCCATTTTCAGGAGGCCGAGTGGCCAGAAGGGAACAAGGAGTGGTGCAGCTCCTGTCATGAAAACAGCGGTGACCTCCGGCTGAAGAGAAGCAAGCGAAGGAGCTGTGCCCACTGTTGCAGCAAGGTCAGGATGGATCCCGTGTGTCGGGGAGAGAGAGAGGGCATGCTCTGGGATAATAATAATAATAATATATCAAACTTCTATTAAACTTGATCTAAACCACCTTCCCCTTCTAATAACTCCCAAAGGAAGATGGCAGTAAAATCAAATAAACCAAAATTATTCATGTCAATGCAATCAAGCCTTGACATCACCCAGTGTTAGCCTTATCAGGTAGAGCAGTCAGGAACCACAACCAGATGAGCTAATTCTACTTTATTGTAAGGCTACATTAACAGAATTTTGCAAGGCTGAGTTTCTTTGCCTTGCCATTATGCAGCTGCGGGCTATGCCCTCTCTTACCTGATTGTTCCCTGGGCAGCATCTCTTCCCCCCGTCTCCCAAGGTCATTCCCACATACCATTACACCCAGAGAGCCGAAGCTTTTGAAATTTGGGGAGTCAAGATCTAGCCCACCTGGAGAGTCCTAGACCAGCCGAGTGGGATAATTTGGAAAGGGTTTCCAGAGTTTAGAAGCCAGCGGTCTTCTGAAAGATGGACCAACTCTGCTTGGCCTGCAGGTGGGAGACACCAAACTCTCCAGAAACAAAGACCTCTGCGAGTTTGCAGACAGCCGTGCTCAGCGAGAGCCAAGTCCTCGGCTTGAAGGCAAGGAGCCGCCCGAGGGAAACTTGGAGCGGAGAGAAGAGGGGGACGTTATCCCCAGCAGGTTGAGAGCCACAGGCCGGAAAGGGGACTCTGCTGGAGGAGGTATGTTAAAAATGCTTTGGCTCCTTTTGCCTGGTTCTTGGATTCTGTCAAGGACACCTTCCTTGCACAAACATTTGTGATGTTCTTTTCGAGTGTGGAACCATTGAAGGAGTTAGAAGGCTGGCTTGCAAATTGTCCAGCTCAAAAAAGCCCTTTCTGTCTCCATTTAGTCTCTTTAGGGCAGGATTTCTCAACCTTGGCCGCTTTAAGACGTGTGGACTTCAACTCCCAGATGCTGGCTGGGGAATTCTGGGAGTTGAAGTCCACACGTCTTAAAGCGGCCAAGGTTGAGAAA